TGTTGTGCGGCCGACCCGACAGTGATCCAGCGAAGACATTATGAAACCTAAAAACAGCCGCGTGGTATTGACCCGCTCCAGACATGAACAACTATGGCGTTTAATGTGTATGGATGTGAATGTAATGTGCAAGGATCATGTGTTATGCGATCATTTGTTATGTTATGTGTTATGTGATATGTGTTATGCGAGCGGTGTTATGAGCGTGCCTATTGCATGCCACGACTGGCCATGCATTGGGCCGACCCGTAACATTTCTTCTTTTTTGCTTTTTTCCTCAAATGATCAGAGCGTTTTTGACGTCAAACTGAACCATCACCAATTAAGTGGCGTGCCACAACTGGGTGTACGATTTTAACATAAATTGCACCCAGAAATATGCTCACCAATTCATGTTGCCATGGTTTTTATAATTTTGCCGCACGTTTCAGTTTTTTCGTACCCTCCTTTCAACAAGAAGGTAATATACGTGACTTGTGGGCTCAGCGTTATACGTCTGTTTGGCGAGCATTTAGCTTGCACGGTCTTGCGGTCCCGCATCTTCCATTTACGCCGGATGAGTCTCGTCGAACTAGCCATGCTTGAACATTGGTCGGACGGCGTGGCCGAACATGCAGTCCACTGCAATGTTTTTAGATGAACTTTGGCGAGCAATTTGTCTGCCTTGTGGGCCAGATGCCTCCTCGTGCTGCCGCGTCGTGTGGTGGGGGGGGGGGGGGGGGGTGAAGGGTTCGACTCGGTGACCGGCATGGGCCTCTAGTACAAACATTTATCGGCGCCGAGAAGCCGCAGCTGGAACTCACGGCTGATGAGGTCACAGAGTTGACTCGGATCATGTTCTCTCTTCTTTACTTCGTGCCTTGAACTGCACATGTAAAACTCTATGAGGAAATTAACGCTTCTGCAACATGTTTAAATGCCACGAGCAGTAGCTTCGCGTCGAAAAATTCGCTTCCGTCAAACTACCGGCCAGTTGAGCCCTAAGCCACAGCGGCCGGCACCACCGACCTGTGAGGTAAATGTGTCAGGTGCCCTCCACCGGCCGAGGTGAGTGTGGCCCGGTTCCCTCCACCTGCTGAGGTGAGTGCGGCTCGGCGCTCTCCACCTGCTGAGGTGAGTGCGGCCCGGCGCCCTCCAACTGCTGAGGTGATTGGGCCCCGTGCCATCCACCCGCTGAGGTGAGTATCAGCTGGTTCTGGACCAATCATTCTTGAACGAGCCGAGCTCATTACATTTGACGTTGCGGTCAGTTATGCCCGAAGTCCCAAATTGTGGACGTACAGTGGCGACATGGTGGTGACATCGGCCAGTGAAGAGAGTCGATGAAGATAAAAAGACCTGGGATGCCGATCTGCCCTGTTATTGGAGCGTCCGGTGCCCTGTGCAGTTCCGCCTGGTTTCAGTCTGCAGCCGGTTCCTCCCGCTGCCAATCCGCCCTGTCAGTCCGCCAGGTGTCTGTGTGATGTCGGTGCCTTCCGCTGCCAATCTGCCCTGTCAGTCCGCCTGGTGTCAGTCTGATGTCGGTGCCTTCCGCTGCCGATCTGCCCTGTCAGTCCGCCAGGTGTCATTCTGTTGTCGGTTCCTTCCGCTGCCAATATGTCCTGTCAGTCTGTTGTCGGCTCCTTCCGCTGCCAATCTGCCCTGTCAGTCTGATGTCGATGCCTTCCGTTGCCAATCTACCCTGTCAGTCCGCCAGGTGTCAGTCTGCTGTCGGTTCCTTCCACTTCCGGTCTGCCCTGTCAGTCCGCCAGGTGTCAGTCTGCTGTCGGTTCCTTCCACTTCCGGTCTGCCCTGTCAGTCCGCCTGGTGTCAGTCTGCTGTCGGTCCCCGTCTCTCCCCGTTGCCGGTCTGTCCTGTGCTTTGTGACTTTGTCCGGTGTCGTTCGCTCGATCTCACCGCCAGCTTGTGATCTGCGAGTGTTCTGGTTTTACTCCGGCGTCAGTGTCTCCTACTGTCAGTCCGCCCTGTGTCGCTCCCCCGGTCTCAGCATCCGCTCCTCGCTCGCAGGTGGAGTTTTTCAACAACTACCTGCGCGACCCGAAGCGGCCGCAGCTGCCGGACCATCCGTCGGCCAAGGCCGGCGGCGGGGCCGGGCCCAGCCGGAAGGAGGAGCCGCCGGCGCAGTTCCACGTGGGCCCGTACCCGCAGCCGGGGCCGCCGCCGCCGCACCAGTACGTGAGGCGCCGACGCTGCCCGCGGCTGACGGCGGTCGGGGGGCTGGCGCGGTGGGCCGATGGCGCGCCCATGGCTGTGTGCGGGATCTCCGGGGGCAGGGCGGGGCGGGGGGCACAGCTGGCGCCGACGGCCGTGTCCGGTGTCGGCGGCCAGAGCGGCGCCCTGTGGCGCTCGGTGGCCGCCCGTGCCGTCCATGGGCTCGCCGAGCTCCGCTCAGCCGAGAGCGACGGTGCCCGGTCCTGATTGGCTCATCGCCGCAGACGTCACGTTGCGATGATATGTGTGTGCGTGTGTGTGCTGACGCGCGCTGTTCCGCCGACAGCGGGTACGGCGGCTACGGCGGCTACCAGCGGCCCCCCGATGTATGGCAGCTACCAGCCGCCGCCGCCGCGCGACCCGTACTACCGCGAGCCATACCTGCCGCCGCGGGACGCCTACCCGCGCCCGCCGCGACCCTACGGACGCCGGTGAGTGCGCGCCAGCGGCCGGCACGCGTCCGGCCGTGCCGCGTGCTCGTGTGACGTGACGCTGTGGTGGCTACGGTCGACCGCGCCCGGGACGTCCTGACGGTGCCGGCGCCGGGGGGCGACGTCCTGACCAGCCGCGGCGGCTTCGGCGGCGTGGGTCCGGTGTGGTGCCTGCCGGGCCGGGCGGGAGGCGCGCCGCTCCTCCCCCAGCCCACCGGGATCCGCTGCCGGCCGCCGTCACACGAGGCCCCCCTCCGCTCCGCTCCCGCGCCCCGTCAGCGGTGTGGTGACGGTGGGAGCGGTCCCACAGTCGCCAGCGCGGCGGGGCCCCTCGCCCTCCCCTTCCGCCACCCTCGATGCGGCAGAGCTCACACGGCGGGCCGTGTGGCGGCGACCCTGCAGAGCGCCAAATTTGTGGCCTGCCGATGTAGCTCGCGCCAGACGTCCTACGCCTGCGGCGCTTACGCCTTGCGCCCGCGTCTCTTGCCATCTTGCTATTTTGCTGTTTCTTGTAGTTGTAGTAGTCGCCGTTGGCGTGTAGCGATGGCTGCCAGTCGGTTCTTCTTTAGCTCTCTGTGTCATTTCTTTGGTGTATTGAAGTCAGAGCAGACCCAGCGAACTCCTAGATGCCCAGTGAAAATTGTGCTGAGCATATGGGATAAAAAACATGACCATGAGCAAAATTTCCCATTTCACTCAGAACACACCGCCAACATTCCACCAACGCTCGTGTACATTGACTTATATTAAAACATCCAAAGGAATGCTTGATAATTGTTATCAGACAAATGCGAAGTGCAACGTTTGTTTCAAAATGCATGTCAACGGCCTTGCAGGCGCGTAATTTGTGGCTCCGCAACAAAAAGCTGTGGCATGCTCCCTTAGACACCTTTCTTATGGGCTCTGTTAGTTTGTTAAGACTAATGAGTCTTTATAAAAGACAAGACCCCTTTCCTTGAATTAGTGGAACGTCCTTATTCCAAGCAGCGTTTGAATCTTAATTATTTCCACATATCGACTGTTATTACTGAATTTGCTCTTGGTATTCGACTGTGACGCTGTGATCTATGATATTGTCATGATAAAACCACTGTTTTCTTCTTGCCTCGTACGATGTATGCCGAGACCCAAGTTACGTGGAATTGTGTCGGTTTAAGGAGAAAAGTGATAGAGTGGAGAGAGGCACTAAATGAATTGGTTTGGTAAGTTTTTACGTTTTTGACTAAAAAATTATGTGTTGGTGGGTTATTCTCTCCAACATTGAACGTGGGAGGTTCAAACGAAAAAGATGCACATTTTCAGATGAGCGATGGACAATGTTACTGACAATGCTCTCAGAACCCGCAAGCTTTCGTGTAATCCACTTTGAACGCACTGGTGAACGTAGTGCATGAGCGTGGGACCAAGTCCAAAATGGGGGGGGGGGGGCTGAGGTCACTGCGGCTTGGGTCATAGACTCTCTTAATGTAATATAAAACACAATTTTGCACTTTCTTCGCTACGTTTTTGCGCTATTAACACCAAATTTGGAGTTAACCCCGCCCCCTTCAAAATGAACTTAATCTCTCCCCTGAACTGCTTTTGAATTCGTTTCAGCATCATATCCAAATTAGCTGTATTATACTCTTCGTATCGCTCAGTCTTACGTCACATTCCGGCACAACACATCACCAAGGACAAATTTATTACGTCACATTCCGGCACAACACATCACCAAGGACAAATTTAGTTTGTGGACGTCATGTCACGGTATTGTGCGGTATAGGTTGTCGCACCAGCATAACCACGGTGACCTGGTATTCCGGTACGGGACATGACACCTGACCGTATGTCAAATCATCGCACGAAATTGAGGTTGTAATGGGGAAGTGGCCGATGGGTTATCGCCTTGGGCACCCACGTGTACGCCCGGTTCGAATCCCGGTTTCGTCGCGACCCCGCGGCGCTAATATGGCCAATGTAGCTGCTGGTGCTCCATGGAAGGGTGCGTGACGACGTGTGTCGTGCTCCGTTACAAGTAAAATAACGGAAATGAACTAGTGCCTGGCATTGGTTTGGCGTCGGTTGAAAATGTAGGCGGAACCAAGCATGTCCTCGGTGATCGACACATTCGCTTTTGAGATATTCTTCGAGTGGAATTTGGTGAGAAGTTCCGTAAATGCGTCCGGGTTTTTTAGATTCGGTTATTCGGCATAACACTAGGGGGGCGCCAGTTAGTGGACTCATCTATGTGGATTAATCTACCAGATTCGTGGGATTAAACCCACCGATCTGCCCCGGAGCAGTCTGTATACCAATATCCATCACGTTATTCGCAGCTTCATAAAATCAATACGTGAAGTACGTAACCTCTCAGTTTGTAGCATTGGTACAGGGTTGAATGAGACTGTGAATGTGACCTCTCCAACTGAATGTATAACAGCATCCAGTGCTGTCACTGCAGTCTTTGAAGACTTGCAACCCTTTTCGCTCCACTTAGTGTCAGTGCTTGCACATTTATTGTCCTGGTTCCTTTAGACCTTTACCATGTGTTGTGATGCTACTTCATCATATACACTTATCGCTGACCATCTTTATCTTGCACGAATGTTTATGCTTATTATATCATATTATACATTCATTTAAATTACAAAATACCACATGTATTGAATTATATCATACACATTTATTTAGCTGTTGTATGTTTCCATAACCCACTTATGATTTTTGTACATTCGGCCTGTTGTTTGTGATGTTTTGCAATGCGATCGCCATTCTTGAAGATCTTTCATATCTGATCTTTGCGCGCGTGTGTAAGTGCGCGTTACACCGTTGCACACACACACACACACACACACAACACACACACACAAACACACACACACACACACACACACACACACACACACACACACCACACGCACGCACGCACGCACGCACGCCCGCACGCACGCACGCACGCACGCACGCACGCACGCACGCACGCACGCACGCACGCACGCACGCACGCACGCACGCACGCAGCACGCACGCACGCACGCACGCACGCACGCACGCACGCACGCACGCACGCACGCACGCACGAACGCACGCACGCACGCGCACGCACGCACGCACGCACGCACGCACGCACGCAGCCGCACGCACGCACGCACGCACGCACGCACGCACGCACGCACGCACGCACGCACGCACGCACGCACGCACGCACGCACGCACGCACGCACGCGCACGCACGCACGCACGCACGCACGCACGCACGCACGCACACGCACGCACGCACGCACGCACGCACGCACGCACGCAGCACAACATATATTTTCTATTTTTTATTTTAAATCATATTTAGTATATATATATATCATATATAATATATATATATATATATATATATATATGAATAAGCTCCTTTTTCCTAACCATTCGTATGCCACGCGACCTTTTAAGCACGATCCGCCATGCGGCTTTCTGTCGTACTATTGCCGCATAACGTATGTTTATCTCGATTTGTTCCCCGACGTTTTCCATGCTATCATTTGCTATGTCATCTTTTCCACGCGAAATAAGCAATAGTCTAACACCAGAGCTTTTGGTTGCATTAATTTGCATGGCCGTAGCAGTTGCATGCGCATTTAAATAGCAGGCGATGCCAGCCGATTTCCATGGGGACACTATAGCCACTGGGTCAGCGCATTGGACTCCCACGCTAGGCTGTACAAATTTTGGCTGCGGCCGTGAGCGCTGACATGGCCTGGGCAGAATTTGTCGCTCCTGAAGGGTATGCGACGTCGTGCGTCGCGTGACGTTATGAGTAATAGTCAGTCTCCCTACAGCTTGTTGCGAGTCATGGATAAGAATGATTGGAGTTGTTTGCTTCGAGTTAATTTGTGCGCGGCTTTCATTTTCGTCGGTCGCAACTAAATGCGAAATTAAAATGCGACGACGGACTGCACCAGCAGGTCATTCAATGTTTAGGATCTGGTCTCAGGGCCAGTTTCGCATTTTCAAAGATTAAAATCCGCAGCGAACGGCTAAAGTTCCCACTTATGCTTCGGGACGCTGTTTCACCGACGCTAATGGGCGCCAAATGACCATGGCAGTCGGCGCGCCCTGAAGCCCAAATCATCATCATCACTCACGGACGCCTGTTGGGCGCCGGCTGTGGCGTTGGGGCCGCTCGTGCCCCGATGCTGGCGGCGTGGACTGTAGGCGAGGGCGGGAGGGACAGGGGCCGTGTGTCGGCTGCGGCTGCTGCGGCCGGACTGTCGGGCGCGCTGATCTCTACACGCCGCACTGCCCGGCGGCGACAGCGGGTCAGAAACGCACCGACGCGCGGCCGAAGCCCGCGGCCCGACACCTCGACCCCGGCGGCCGGCACGCTGCCCCCGCGTCACCGGCCGGCAGCCGCCCTCCGGCCCGTCCGCCCGCGTGACTCGCGACCGGTCTGCATGTGCCCCGCACGCTCGTGTCTGCAAAGACGGCTGCCGGGCGCGTGTGTGGCGCGGCCGGGGGCGGCCGGCCCGGCGCCCCACCTGATGCCCTCCACCTGTGTGTGTCTCGACAGGGACCCGCGGAGGATCGTCGACTACCAGGACCTGGACGCGCCGCCCGACGTTGACTTGTTGTAATTCCCACAGCTGCTGCGGCCACGTATGTATAGCGGCGACGCCGGCGGCCGCGGCGCGGCGGCGCGCCTGCCGCCACCGCCGCCGCGCCGCGCGCCGTCTGACGGGTTTTTCACATTGAAAGAGGTCTCGCTCACGAATCACGTGCCGCTCTGCTGTCCTGGCTCACGCAGCGCTTGGCCAACAGAAACGGATGAAATTCTAGCCGGGTCACGATCCGCCTTCCTATGCACTTCTGTTCAGTGTCGAAAGACTTTGTCAGGGCGAGCTGGCTCGTACGTGGCGCGCGCTTGTTGGTCGAGACAGGGCGCCGATTGGACGGCCCGATCCGCGGTGAGCGGTCGTTGCGGTGTTGCAGCCCGCATCAGCCGCTGGGCGGTGACGGGTTTCTGCCGTGTTCGTGAAAGCCGTGTTTGCTGATGACGGTGCGCTGTTTTCAGGCACGTCAGGCCGCTGAGCAGCTATCGGGACCTGGATGCTCCGAAGGACATGGACGAGTTCTAGCGCGTGGCGCTGTCTTCGGCACTTGTGAGAGCGCTTTTACTTTCGGACGTGGTGCGCTCGGAGCGGGGCTAAACTTGGAAGAAGAAAGTGGAGCATCGAGAGCGAGAGTGCGATGTAAATGTGTTTGGACGGATACTCTTGCGAGATTTGCGCCAATAAACGTCTACAGAACGGGAGTGGTCGGCGCCTTTGGGCCAAGAACCGTCAGGAGTACAACTATGTCGAGCGCGTGGTAAACGACGGGTTCACATGACGATCAGGGCAATCCAGGACGGGATGCGTTTCGAGGCAGTCGTGCAGATATTACGTCTCACTGGCAGGCTACTCACATCAGCCGGAGGGCCCTGCATGCGATAGCTTTTTGTCAGGACTCCCTGCAGCTTTTGTCCGGTTGGCCACGCCACGGCGCCAGCTAGACGAGCCTGTGTTGCCGCGCTTATGCGGTAGCTGACGTGGCATGCAGTGAACGTCGACAGCTCATGACCGGCCGCCACAAGCAGATAAAACCCAGAGGATGCGAAGAGCCTGAAATTTCTTGTGAAATTTGGGCCGAAAGTTTGTTTGACCTGACTGTTTGACATGACATGACGTGTTGGCATGTTTTGACATGACGGTTTGACTCGAAAGACTGTCTTGAGAGTTCTCACTTCATTTTTTCCAAACATTTCTTGTGCGGTTAGCGACGTAGCAAACAAAGCACAGGTTTTGTTGGTTATTTTACGTCACATGCTTTTAAATAGCGTGGGATTTCCACGTTCCGAGCATATGTTTCAAGCGCATTGCGATGCATGTGCCGCACGCAGCATGAAGACACGGCGTATTGACCAGTCACTGTATGTGACTGATGGTTGCCAACGGTACCAGTCATGCACATAATATATTATGTCCATCACGCATCATGTCACGCCTATCTACGGCTAAGGCAAATGACAGATATCTTATACATGATTATCATTATGCCCTCACATGTGGCAGGATTAATTTTGCAGCATCACTAACCGGAGCGCCGTGAGCAACTGCTCGCGTGGTGCCAGTGCACGGTCTTGCCGGGTATCGTGGGCTAGATCTGGGCCGATAGCCCCTGAGGTGACCTCTGCCACCAAAGGTCCGAAAAGATCCGAAAACAGCTTCTGGAAACATTTGAAGATTATAAGTATTGACAAGTGATCTAAAGACAACAAACATGTGTTTGAAGTTGAGGGACTGGTTTTAAGAGCACCCAGCTGCTACACGTTTGACAAATGTAGATTAAACTCGCATCCCTTCAATTGTCGCGGTACTTATGTAGATGAAATGAAAATAATTATTCCTTTGACATCAACTTGCCCCACGCAAAAGTAATGCTATGTAACCAAAACACTTGTCATGTGCCAACGATGCCGGTAAGGTCAGGCGGCTTCAAACGTATGTCTTGTCGAACAGAAGACGAAGAACAGTCACCACCATCAGCGCCACAAGTAACATGAATATACTCACCGGGGTGACTCGGCCATTTCTCATTGCAGCTTGATTCAGTCGTGCCACGTCCTACGCCTCCGCCCTTGAGCTTGCTCCGGCTCCTCCATGGCCACAACCACTCATTTTAGGACTTTGCAGAGCATCTTTATGTTTCAGTTCAGTTTCGAAGTAAACTTGTACTCCCCGGGCGAATCAGCCGCGGTTTTTAAACCCGGCGGATGTTTGCTGAAGCGCGAAGTAGAATTCGTCCTCAGTTATTCCCGTAGAAAATATGATTTTATCGGCGTTGAAGTAGGTATTTTTTGCTCATTGCAACATGATTCGAACTAAAAGTCTGGGAAATTACTCCCCGCGGCAGTTTTGTACGTTCTTCTCTCTTGATGAAACTGGTTATTGAGCGAGTAGTATGACGGAAGTAATTAATCGCACATTTTGGAAGCAGTGTCGTTGCTGGCAGAATGGTGCGGCGTCTATTTTTTGTCTTGCTTCTAGACAATGCCTTTTGCAAAACGGTCGCAAAATGACCATTATAGTCGATGCGCCCTAAAGCACCAATGGACAACAATGCGTGTCTGGAACAAGTAGGAGACATGCCTCCTATATGTTCCCCTCCTGCGTCACACACAGCGCTTCCGCCTATGCCATGGAGAGGGATCCATAATAAAAGAGTACCTGTACCTGGAGTACCTGAGTACCTGGGACATACGATTGAAAAAGGCTTGACCCTGGGAGGGATTGCTTATGGACCGTGGAAAGGCCTGCTTCTGGGAGGGATTGTTCCCGGGCCGTGAGAAGGGACTTGCGTTGATCGAATGAAATCCCATGCTTCGAGATCCCTCGGCCGGTGATCTCCACGTTGGTGCAAGAGGAGCTGAGGACTCTGAGGTTTGAGCTCAGGTCTGAGGACCTGATCCTTCCGGTTTGCGGTGCGATTCGTGGCGGTTGTGTCGAAGCCTTGCTCCGTTTCTGTCTTAATTTTTGCCGTTGTGGGACAATGTGGTAGTGGTGTTCTTTTTATAATTCTATCACGCATTGCCCTGGTGGCCTTCATTGTATTTTTTCTTCCTTGTCTTTACTTTAAAATAGTAATTAGTGTAAGCGCCTTCAGCGTTCAGTACACGCGCAACACTTCAGGCTCCACCACCTCCAGCCACCAGGAAGTGCTGCCACCTGCCAGCTGCTGCGAGGACTGACGGGGCGGATTACTGATCAGGATGTGAGCTCACAAAAGCTTAGCGTGTCCAGGCGCGCGGCCAGAGCCTTGGTAACGGGGCTACATGCTGATAGCGGTTACAGATAGATGGCGCCCCTTGATAGCGGAAGGCCCCCAAATCTGTGGCCAACGCGCGGACGAGAGTGATGACGTTGCTGAGAGAAGTACCTTTGAACGCTTTAGGACATAACATCTTACACTATTACATTATCCGGGCCTCTTCGCATACTGCCTCTGGCCGACTCGGGGCCCCTTGCGGACACGGTGCCGCCGTTAGGCGCTGTGAGGCCCTGACAGACGCTGGAGCCCCGACCAGTGTAAATCGCTGGCTCCGGCTTTGTCCCTCCTTGTAAAATGGGCCCTCAGTCCCATGTCGCCGTGGCCAACTGTGTATTACTGGTGATGTCTGACCGATGTATAAGCCATTATCGACATAGGGGCATCTGATCAGCACGAGGGGCCCTCTGGCTGGCATTTAAGTGCCGGCCCTGTGGGCCGGGCCCCTGAATACGGCCTCCGACCGGTCGTTCGGGCCCTCAACTCGGATTCTAAATCATAGGTTCCGAAGGGGCATGAACCTAAGAGGGACACCTGCCGTCTGTGCCCCCCCCCCCCCCCCCTTCTGCGTGCACTACTAGCTGTGCCAGGCCGAGGCCCCGCTCAAATTAGGCAGTTTTCTGGAGCCGACGGTCGCAGTCGCCACCGCAGACTGCCTGAACACTATGCAGGCGGTGATGTACAGCCCGGAGCTCCCCGAGCTGTCGGACTAGGAGCTGTTGGAGGAACTGACCGGGCAGCGGCTGTGCGAGGTCATGCGTCTGCCCTCCCGCCGTCCCGGCCTGGTCCACATCCCCTGGTTTGCCTGCGATTTAAGGGCTATAACTCTCACGTGCCACCCACTGCGGATGCCTCACGGTCCCGGTGAAGGCCTGGGTCCCTCCTCCCCAGCAGCGCCGCACGTGTCAACGGTTCGGCCACACTGACCGGACCTGCCGGGCTGCGCACTCGACCAACCAACACAACAGCACCCTATTCGAAGTCGCCACAAGATTTACCGTATACTTCGCCCGTGTAACATCATCCAGACAATATTTACAACATATCACAAATACATTCAACGCCACACTACTCATGCTCAACTTCACGTCTGCTTACACCGAGACATCCAACGCACTCTTTTTTTTCTTTTTTCTACGCCGTTACCCAAGAACAGGTAACCAGAAGTGCCCCTCCCTCAATCCCAGCGACGCAGTAAACCGTATGTTAACACCAGAAAACTTAAAATCAAGTCGCGGCACTCCCAACTAGGAAGATGAAACAAACGTAAAAAAAACAGGCGAAGAGGTGGAGCAGACCCGAAGGAATTGTGTTATGTGATAGGTAGGGAAAAATCATAGGTGAAAAAGCTTAAAGTAGTCATTAGCCAAAGTCAGCTACTGACAGCCCGCTATAACCGCCCAATAATCTACAACCACTCAATTCGCCGTGTTAGTAAGGGCTATACAGTCGCACAAGTCGGAGGGGGCAATTACCTGGTCATTTTTGTGCTGGGTTTTGAGCTGGATGTCCAGGGAGTCCACCCAGCTAAGCAGAGCTTGTTGCTGGGAGAACTCCCGGAGCCAGCGCCGTGAATTTGGGTATATGTGCATGACTTTATGTCAGAAACTGATTATGAAACATGAAGGAGGTCAAATATGAAGTGCGTTGGATATGTACAGCACAAGGATGGCAATGTCTTCAAATATGTTGGTTACGTTAATATGTGTTCACGAAATGCTTGCGGATGATGTTCGTAACGATGGTTTTTGATACAGGGATATCAGCTATTCTTGGAAAATATGAAACCATAATGTCGTTCCACAGCTTAGGGCCAAGGCAAGATGCTGTAAATAGTCTATAATTACGAAAAGAGAAAGGTTGGTCTAAATGTTTTGCTCGCCTCATATCCATGTCATTGGATTCGTAGATATTGTAAATCAAATCGAATGATGCAGGGAGCTGTGAAGTTAAAAATTTGGGTATCACAATTAACATTTGAGATTTAGCAATATCCGATAGTTTCAAATTTTTGTATCGTTTAAAGACTGGCTCTGAGCTTTGTGGAGGATACACATTTTCTATAAGACGCACAGCCCTTTTTTGCAAAATTACCAACCGATCTAGTTGAGAAACATAATTTATGCCCAAACCAAGCAGCAGTAACTTAGATAAGGAAGAATCAAAGTGTTATAGAGTAGATGTGACGTTGTTTTATCAATAAAGTACCTAACCCTACCTATTATTCCAATATTTGTACGTACTATGCTTGCAACAAAATTAGTGTGGTTTGTAAATTTAAGAGATTTGTCAATGATTACACCAAGGTATTTAATTTTTTTTTGTCTTCAATAGGTGGATTATTAATTTGCACATTTAGTCGGAAATACGAAGAAAGGGTTGTGTAATGCTGTGTGAATGTTTTTGATACGTTCAGGGAGAGAAAATTAGCAGCAAACCAAGAAGTCA